TGTTGGTTGAGTCTAGGAACAGGGATTTCCTGGAGATAACAGCAGGTTTAGCTGACATCCGAGGTTGATCTTTTGGTTAAAACAATGCTGGTTGCATCTGGGGACATGTCATTTCCAATCATTTTTTCCTCATAACTAACTTAACTTTTCAATATTGGATAGAATGACCATGGCAGATTTAATATTTTAAGACAATTACATCTTGGATTGGGCAACAGTTATCAAACAACAGAACCCCCTGACATGTGTGCTGTCATAAAATTTTGCAGGAATTAATTAAACCAACTCAACGATGAAATTTTCTTTCTGCGAATATTTCAGAAACAATTAAATGTTTTGCAAAACTGATACTACCCAAGACTCTGTAATATCTAATTTCTGATCGATATTAACACTCTAACTTGTCCCTACTATCAGTGTTTTGTTGGCCCATAGCCTCTGGTTCTGGACACTTGAGACCAACGAGGTATTGAATACAGGCATGAAAAAATACAAGGCTCCAGGCAAAAACACTAGGTACAATCACATCTGTCTTGGGAGGATATTCTCCCCGAGAATCAAGTTCATGATAATCAGTATGAACATAGTCTAATTGCAGAACATAGTCTAATTGCAGAACAGAGGCTATTTGAAGCACACAACAAATGAGAGTCAAAAACAAAATATCTTGAAATTCATGACAGTGACATGCGAAAATAATGGATTTGCGAGTCTGACAATATTGACAAACCTTGCTGAGACTGAGTCAATATGGTTAGCCAAATTCCCTCAAATTAATTGGTAATAATGTGTCATTCTGTCTGCTGGAAGCTCAACAAGAGTAAAACAAATGTATGCAAGAGTCAATATTTTGGCACAATGTAATGTCCTATTGTCACTAGAGTATCTTGCTCATTTGAAACCTTTGAAAAACATTATTTCTACCTCATTGTAACTGAATACAGAGGTAAAATGTGATCAGAAACTTTTCAAAATAGAACTCACCACTCACACATTAGGAGAAGAAAAAAATGTCAATAAATATCTTGCTTTTTTCAAATAATGAAATTCCCATTTAATTTGAAGTATAGATAGTTCCGAAAGTCATTACCAGAAGGCAATTTTAAGAAAGGAATCTGTAAAGTCATGATTCAAATGAAACAGCTTGCTAAAGATTAAACATGTAACAGCTCCTCAATCTTGTCCACTGAAACACTGACAAAACTCAATTTGCTGTAGGCTCATTATAACAGTTCCTCACAGTTCAACTTTTCTTCCAAATATGAACAACTCCACCTCGTTTTAACTGTTGTCAATTTCGCTCAATGTCGATTGGGAAACGAAAAAAAAAAATTGCCAAACCTTACTGAAATGTTGGGTAAAACACTTGTGATCAATACTCATGTCAGAACCAACAATTTGACACTGAAGAACATGATGAGGGTGTTTGCCTGAGGGCAGACAGCTGATATCTTGTGTTGATTCAACATCCACCATCTCTTATGATGAACAAACATCACATATCACTATATCCATTGCACAAAATGAGACTTGAATTCCTTCAACAGCATAGATACTCTCTCAGTCATTCAGTGTGGCACCCTCACATGGCACCTTCTTGTGGCATGCTGGGGAAAGGTCAATGGTCAGGGTTTCACAACATGCTTTCTTTGTTGCTGGTGAAGATTTCAGATGTGGCAAATCAATACCTATGATATGACCAATGCATTCATATCAAGAGCATATATGCATATATGAACCTTTTTTATACAGTTAGATGAAAAAGTACACATGAACTACAAATTAATTCAGATCTGATATCACATCAAACATATAATAGATGAGGTGAGGTGAGGTGAAATGGGGTTCCATGTTCATTCTATCTTACCTCACCTATTGCTAGTCTCACTTGACACATCAGTTTACAACTGACAACATCTCATTACTTGAAACTATTAAATGCTTATAGAGATAAGCAAAGAAACTGCTGTAAAATGAAACACATGCTTGGCATAAAATCTGTATATATTCTTAAAGAACACCAAAATTGACTTGTCACTTTCTGACTTACATAGTTGATAGGAAATCACCATAGGTAGTATTTCCATGAATATATGTAGCACAAGGCCCAATTGTAGAATGTCATCTTCAAGCTGGGCTCACCAACTGGGTTCACCATCATGTAGTGCTATAATCTCCATGAACCTATCCTATACATTAAACTACAGAAACAATTATATTCTTTTGTCATTCAGAGCAATCAAGCTGACTGTAATTACACTTATCACATGAAGATAGAAGCTATTTCCTGGTCTTACTTTAAACATTATTACAAGAAAAGAAGAGCAACATATCCATGTTTAAATCAGAAATAGGTTGATGGTCACAAATGTGGAAAAATTCAAACCATTTAGAAAATATTTTTGATATTACACAAACTCATTCCCTGAAGGTCTGTTTTCACATGATATACCAGAACATTAGTTCCATGATTCAAAATCATGGTCGTCTTACAACGTGAACTGATTGGCATTCAGTTCAATACTGCAATCTTGCTAAACGCACCTCCTAGTACACTTGGAGAAATTCTACTGGCCAAACTGAGAAGTTGCAATTCTATAGTAGGGATGAGTTTTGAGAAGCTCTCCTGACAAACTCAATATTTATTGACCCACATGTTCAAGGTGCATGTTACACAAGCACTGGAGAACGTGTAGCCAGGAGAGGGTGAGACCGGTTCGCATGTGAGGTGTCATCCATTACCCGATCACGTGGTACAACCCATCATGCAACATTAAAACTTGCAGAAATCAATATTTCTAACTTTATATCGCAGTTAAAGATATTTTTTTTGAAGTTTTGAAATATTGCATGTTTTATCACCGTATGATGAGTTCCAGCGGCAAAGTCCCTTTCATTCAGGAAACAGGATAAAAAGTTAAGATGGATTGCACTAGTTTTTCGGAACAGGTTTTACTTGTTAGTGTATTGCAAGCTGTCATATATTTCATGCTTATGAAACTGCATTAACAGTGGAAATGAAAAATATCATTTTGGAGGCAGATGTTCTGTTGAATCATATTAATATTTCACTTCCTGCTGTTACATACTAGAATTTTCTTTTACCGATGATTTGATGATTTTGGCAAGGTTTAAACCAAAGAGAACAGAACTTGTTTGAATTAAATGTGTGAAAATTGTCTGGAATGAGTGAGTGGGAGTTGTTCTGACTATGCATTTTAATGGTTATTAAAACATTGTAACCACTTAATTCTCATTTAGTAACTTTGCAAGGATTGTTAGAAACCTAATTACTTGGGAAAATATTATAAAAGATAGTAACCTGAAATTGTAAGTGTTACTATCAAGATAAAAAACAACCTCACTTACTAATTTCCGTAACACTCAGTGAACATGTAACTACAAACATTTACAATTTAATCTAGATTCTACTTTTAGGATAACACCCATTTCCACATTATCCAAAGAAAGGATGGGATAATTACACACCCAACGCAGTCTTGCAAGAAACTGGTTAAAATCCACCAGAGCAAGAAACAATATTTACACACATCACCTCCGCAAGTAGCTTTGACAGGAGCACCCTCTTTGGTTACTTTATCCAATAATATGTGTGTGTACCTAGATGTGTGTGCAAATAGGCATCTATCAGGATCAGTCAAGTTAATTCAAACTTCTCCTTCATGGGATATGTGAAGTTAAGCACGAGTAACTCTACTCAGTTGTAGACAGAAAATAAGCTGATGGGAAATAGGACTGATAAGAAATGATGCAAACTTGGGACACTGTCAATGGTTGCCAGTTAAAGTACTGGTTTAACATTTAGATTCATTATTTTCATTGGTCAAAAACAATTTCTCACCATAAAGTAAACATTTTACTTCACATTTCAAATATCTTGAAACAAATAACCCATAAATTACCTATCTGTTTAAAAATAAAATTTCACAAGGGGAGTAAGTATGGTTTTATAACGAGGTATGGCAATTCATGGACAAGTAAAACAAAATGCATCATGGCAAAGTCAGGTAGATAGCAGCATGGCAGAGTCAGGTACATATGTCAGCATGACAGAATCAGGTAGACATCAGCATGGCAGAGTTAGGTAGACATCAGCATGGCAAAGTCAGGTAGACAGCAGCATGACAGAATCAGGTAGACAGCAGCATGGCAGAGTTAGGTAGACAGCAGCATGGCAGTGTCAGGTAGACTCAGTATGGCAGAGTTAGGTAGACAGCAGCATGGCAAAGTCAAGTAGACTGAAGCATGGCAGAGTTAGGTAGACAGCAGCATGACAGGATCAGGTAGATGTCAGCATGACTGAATCAGGTAGACTGCATCATGGCAGTGTCAGGTAGATGTCAGCATGGCAGAGTCAGATAGAAAGCAGCATGGCACAGTCAGGTAGATGTCAGCATGGCAGTGTCAGGTAGACAGCAGCATGGCAGAGTCAGACAGCATCATGGCAGATTCAGGTAGAAAGCAACATGACAGAGTCAAGTAGACAGCAGCATAGTAAAGACAGGAAGATAGGAGTATGGCCACATCAGGTAGACACCAGTGTTGACACATCCCACCTAAGCGTGAAGCTGAAGTGCTGATCTCACCACAGGCGCTTGTCAAGCAACTTTATCCAGTACCCAGTGTTTGTAGCAACAATGTGAGTGCAAACACACCACTGCCAAGGATCATAGGAGATGTAACATATGTTCATCGCATGCTACCTGGCAGACTAGACACTACTACAGCACAATATGGGTTTTTCACAGCTCTGCTACTCACAATCTTTATACCTCTTAATGCCTCATTAACCTGTTGGTGAAGCTTCTATACTTTTTGCTAAAAAATCCAAGGGAAGTTAAATCTACTTGTCATTCTGGTGCTATTATGTCTCAATGATTTGCAGATGAGTTTCTTGTGTCTAGTACTGTTTGCCATCATTTAGATGCTTTGTATGAAAACAAGGTACACAAAATATACATATACACACATGTACTTACATTGACACTCTCTGTCATTGCTTTCAATCGCTGGATAAACTCCGTCCCTGATTTGGCTTTTTCTGACAATGACTGCAAGTTCTGTGAAAGTTCACTCTGAAATAAAGATCAATATATATCAATCATTGAAAGGAAATGTATACATATATTGACTTACTCAAAAACATTTCAATTACATTTAATCATAAATCATACCTTCAATCTAGCATCAAATAAAAAATCAAAAGAAAATAATATCATCCTTACAATCAATAACATAAGTGGCATTTTAGAAGGTGCGGTAACAATAGAGATAGATTCAACTAATTTTTTCAATTGATTGATAAATGTTCTAGCCTCCGTATTAAAATGTTACACAGAAAGCATAACAGACGTTGAAATCCCTGTCAACTCATCTTCACAAACTCAATGATAAACTTGAATATGTTACATGGTCTCTGTAACTACAAAAGTGACACAACTTCTTGAAACGGTTTCTTTTATCAATAACTTTATACCATTTCTCCTGTGTCATGTACAGCATTATTCCTTATGTAAATGTCTAACATCTCTACACACTGTAAATCTCCAGAAAACAAACAGGTCTTGTCTATGGTTGAAGCTAAAGCCAGGGTCTCCATCTGACTACAAGCAAAGGCACCTCACAATATGTCACAAAGTTTTCACCACCTCATAAACTGGCACCATCCTTGATCTCAACACATTCCACTATACCACAGTAGGAGTGATCAAATGCCTAGTTTATCACTCTGTAAGAATTAGGCAATGAAAGTTAATTAGAAGACCTCCTGTCCTCATCCACTATTGAGTAATTGGCCTGCAGAGCCACAGAGTGGAAGGGGTCCAATACAAACAAACACACACGTAAGCCCACAGAAACGCACTCCGTTTACTACAGAGTGAGCACCAATAAATGTGCGAGAGAGGAGAAAAAATGTGGAAAAGAAATTATTGATCAGCCATTACTGTAAGTTAGTGGTGAGGAAATCATTATTGAGAAAGAGTTATCGTAAAGACGACAAAGGACAGAGATAATAGCTTGAAATGTTAAGTGGAACGCGATTTATCGAACATGAAATCGTCATAAGTTAAATGCCATGCTGGTGCACAGATAGAGATGTCATAACATGTGTTTACAATAGATTCAGCTTCAAGACAGCAGGATTATATTGCATCAGTCTCTCACTAGAAATGCCAAATTTGTCTGCAAAACTAACTCCACCATATTTTATCTTAATCTTCCTAAGTGGTGTAAATACGAAATGTCATTCAAATATTACCAGATTAATCGAAAATTTAATTTGATTTTATATATGTTTGTTCAGGTAGGCTTTCAAAAAGAGGAAAAATAGTCATTTGAAGGCAATTTATTCTTATCAAAGCTATGGAAAGCGATTTTGTTAGATAACATACTGCCTGCAATAAAACTGACAACTCATCATCAGTTGGTCTGGATCTGTTTCCTTCTGGTAAATTAACTGCTTATGTTGCATGACAAGCATCTCCTTTCACTTCTTTAAGTAAGATATTTAATGTTACGATTTTCACGCAGATTAAAGGCTATTTAACTGGAAAAGAAAAGTAATAATATCCTTTTTCATTTCAGCAATTTGTGATTGCTTCAATGCATACAGACATCGGAAACAATTAAACTTAATCAATGGAAAGCATACTAATAACAGTTTTAACATAAATAATTTCCCCAAGCAGAAGTTCTTCAATTCACCTTACAGTAGTCTATAATCAAAACAAGCCAAAACAGTAGGTGCAACTAATTAATTAACTGTAAACAGTTGTCAGGAAAGCTGTTTGATCTTCGTCTGTTTAAGAACCTGAATGATTACACAGGACACCTTCAGGCCTGTCTTACAGGGCTTTAAAGTAAATAATCAACAACCATATAATTACATCACTTCAGTACAAATAATCAGCCTTTCTTCCACCTTCAAACCATATGTGTTTCTGGCAAGAGACCTTCAAATATAGCTACATTGTATATTTCAGATATTTATTGAAGACGAACATAACATTGAGCATTCAGTTAAGAGAGGACACTGGATCCAAGATGTCTTAATCATCCCGCATCTCTTCCATATGGACCTAATGAGCCAGGACCAGGTTATGCTCACTTTCATGTCAAATGTCTTTGATCTATTTTCTTGCATAGATGCCTGGTACAAATTAAGGCACAAAAATGTCAACCATGTCACACGTGTCCAAAAGGAGCAAATGAATTCTTTTGACATAAAAAGACAAATGTTACACATCACTCAGTATTTACAATACATTGATTAAACAGAGTACAGGCACATTTTGTATGGTACAAGGAAACCAAACAAAAAACCAAAAAGAGAGTCATAAGCCAGGTGCAAAGTTTTACAATACAAGAATCTGAAACTCTGGGAGTTTGATATGCTTCTCATCTAGCTATAACTTTCCATCAGTCTAGACATCAACTGGTATCTTTTTTCTAATGAACTATGTCTTCTCATGCATTTTCAAAGTTTATTTATATAGCAAATACTCTAAATGAACTAAAAGTTGAATGTTATTCACAAGATGGATAGGAGGTACATACTGACTGCTGGAAGAATAAGATTTCCAAAACATTCTCAATTCCTTGACACACATTTGAAAAGCAAAAAAATAAACAAAATTTAGTGACTTGATTTCTCTCCTTCCAAACACGAGTGTTTTGAGACTCAAACTAAACAAATATTGTGAATGAATACATCCTAAGAGTTTGTACAGTTTTCAGGCAGTAATGATTTTTTTTTCCACTTGAGGCCAAAGATGGAATGACGCTGCCTGTCGGCCATCTCAATATCATCCAGCCGGCTAGTCGACCTATTGCATCATGGGAAGGCCATTACAATCCATTACAACTCATATTGGCTGACACTTCTATAGATAGCAAGCACATTTAGCATATTTGAACACCATTCCCTGAGTTGAGATGAATCTATTGCTTGCCCCCTGGGGCTGCTGGTGATTGAGCCTGAAGGTAGTTCTCCATGAAGGAAGGCACATACCCTGGCCTGTAGTCTGTCTCACAGTCCCTGAACCACATTAATTTCCCTACTGCCAAGCTTTCTCTGCAGTGCTAAAGCCCTAAATAAAGCAAGTCTAGATTTCCTTAGGTTCAGGAATCTCTGGTCTCCCTAGGGCTCCTTATCAATATAAATGGGTTTGTTTGTTACTATCAAAATTATATATATTCAGAGACTAAGCCTTAGTCTACCTGGCCTGCCTCAGCCTCGTGACTGATTCTCCTGGACCTTCTGAAGGAATAGGGGGGTTCTCCCAACTTTCTCCTCCATGTGTTCTATTGTCTGTACACCAGACAATGGTCCACATGAAGTCACTTTCTTAAACACTTTGCTGAAAGAGGGATGACTTGGACCTGATCAATTTTCACATTTATGAAAGACGATCTTCAAACACATTTCGGGCACATTTTAAAGCTGCCTTTGGGCATCGTCTTGAGTCCTAATAAGAAGATTTCTTTTACAGATCAATCTGAGGTTGCTCTGACTAGCTACATCAAAGTTTCAACATGCTAGACAGCCAATCCTGACAAAAACTAAGTGTCTTTGTTTATCTGATCTTTCACTACTTAGAAGAAAAAGTGTTTCTGGGGTCAAACTGATTTTGGGTATGACCAGCCTAACAACCAATGCAATGGGAGAATGTCAAATGACAGAATAAAGAGATGCAACTTCCCATTCAAATTACAAACACCAGCTTAAAACAAATTAATCCAACAATTTTTCATTCAGAAGACTTTAACTTTTTAACCTTAAAGCAACACTGACATTTTCAAGTTGACCTTCTTTACATGATTGCATATGACGAAACCTTCCTCAGGAATCAAAGCAAATTGTTTCTCATGCCCACCATTCTCCAGAGGGAGAACTAATTAAAGATCTTAATCTTAGTCTTTGATAATTTTCTCAATATTTAGATTAGCTTGATCTTTGGGCAAAACATCAAATGACTGATCAAGAAGATATTTAAAAAATTCTTCAAGACATCTTCAGCAGAGGGATGTTGTCCTTAATTCTAATGAATCTGTCAAACTGATCAATACAAGAATACTGATTATTTCATTAGCTCATTTATAACAAATGACACATTCTTCATCCATTAAATCAGTATCCCAAACAAAACTATAGGTAATAAAAGGTTTTCACATTCAGAAGCAATTACGATAATCATTAGGATGGTTGAAACCATTTCTCCTTTAACTGCCAGTTTAATTTCACGTAAAACAAAAACAATGTGAAAACAATAATTCATTAAATGTCAATACAAGGCTATGTTGATCTATCTAGTTATGTGTACTATACCAATATCAAATGTTGAAAAATATATTGAGGTCTTGCTGAAAGGAGAATAATAACCTGAGAGCCTTAGTCAATTTGAGTAAAGTTGAAAGTATTGCTAGTGGGATATCTCATTTAGATGTATGCCTGTGCTGTAACTATTTAGCCTGATAGATTTTATAGGCTGGTTTCTGATCTTGATTAACATTGTTTGTGAATCAAAATGAAATGTTTGTTTCCCTTTCTGTGCTTAAATAATACCAACCATGACTGCGTAGGCAAGACAAACACATTTTCCTATTTTACGTACAAACTTATTTTAAAAAACAGTAAAAAAAGTGAAAACATTAAATAAAAAATGCTGCGTTTAAATGTCAATATACTTTACACAACATCCGTTAGAAAGTAATTAAATTTAAGTATGTATTTCAGTTATAGCCTTAAAATGAAGCAAATTGTAATTGTTTCCTGTCCCTTGGCAAATTGACCACACAAAATAAATGATGACACTAAATTGGTCTTGATGAAAATAAACTATAAACACACATAAACATAAAAAAAAACAACTAAAATCTGATGATATTTCATTATCAGTTGCAACTGACACACACATATCTAAGACACTTGTCAGCTGCTCACACTGACAATGACTTATAATAGTAATGGATAATATGCTCAGAGAGTGGTTGTGCTTGAACTGTCTTCTTCCAGGTAATCTGAGTATCAACACATCTTGGGGAAAATGCAGACGGCTGACATTTTAACAAATTG